ATGCCACCGTCGCCGTCATGAGCTACAGCGGCTACGACATCGAGGACGCCCTCATACTCAACAGAGCTTCCATAGATCGGGGCTACGGACGTTGCCTTGTTTACAAAAGCGCTAAAACAACTATGAAAAGATACAGCAATCAAACATCGGATAGAATATTAGGACCTTCGAAAGATGCTACTACAGGAAAAATCATAAAAGCACACGATATCCTAGACTCTGATGGAATCGCTAGCCCTGGAGAAATGGTTGAAAATCGACAAGTATTGATAAATAAACAAATGCCCCCGGCTACAATAAATCCTATAGCGCAAGGACAACCTCAGCAAATTGAATACAAAGAAGTTCCAATTACATATAAAGGTCCGGTAGAATCCTATGTCGAGAAAGTTATGGTTTCCGCAAACGCGGAGGATGCATTTCTAATTAAGATCTTACTAAGACAAACCAGAATCCCTGAGATTGGAGATAAGTTCAGTTCTAGACATGGTCAAAAAGGTGTTACAGGGTTGATAGTTCAACAAGAAGATATGCCATTTAATGACAGAGGGATATGTCCCGATATGATCATGAACCCACACGGCTTCCCGTCGCGGATGACAGTTGGTAAAACTATCGAGTTGCTGGCAGGAAAGGCGGGATTAATGGAAGGAAAATTCCATTATGGTAATAATACTCCAGTATTAGGTAGCTATTAAATGTAAAAAAATATCCTTAGTTTATATATAATGTATTCTCTGCAGGCACAGCATTTGGTGGATCTAAAGTGAGAGATGTGTGCAATGAACTAGAAAAACACGGCTACAATTATCATGGCAAAGATATATTTTACTCTGGAATCACAGGCGAGCCCTTAGAAGCTTACATTTATTCAGGACCGGTGAGTTTAAAGATATCAAAATTGTTCAAAAGAAATCTTTTCCTGACTAGAAGCAATAAAAATATGTAGTACAACCCTATAGTCACTTAAAACATACTTTAATCATCAATACCAGTTACAATTCTATAATGTATTTTTAAATAATGTTATTTTAGGTTTATTACCAGAAATTGAAGCACATGGTGCAGGACAAGATGCACGCGCGCGCCCGCGGCCCGCGCGCCGTGCTCACGCGCCAGCCCACCGAGGGCCGCTCTCGCGATGGCGGCCTGCGCCTCGGCGAGATGGAGAGAGATTGCCTCATTGGATACGGTGCCAGGTGAGATACACGTATATTACGTTGTGCAAAACTAAAAAGTTGTTTGTTCTTACAACTCTTTTTTCATTTCTTTACATAATTTTTACTGAACTATAGATAGCGTACTTGTTATAGGTGGCGTTACAGGTGCAATAGTTTCTTACTCATCTCCCCTATCTTATCCTACTTGTCAACGCCGTGTTTTCGTACTCCAAATAACTCTTATTATGCGTCATCTCAGTCATCACTTCTTTTTTGATCATGGCACCTTTCATGCAAACCATCCATCGATTTCTAGGTCTAGCGGTGTACCACATTCATATCTAACATCTTCCTTGTTACATTCATCCTTCCTCAAACCATGCTAACCTACGATAGTTACTCACTATTGTATTTAAATTTGCAGTATGTTGCTAATGGAGCGGCTGATGCTGGCGTCGGACGCG